CGAGGTTGCTGATGTTGCCATTGTTGACGAGGTTGCTGATGTTGCCATTGTTGACGAGGTTGCTGATGTTGCTGATGTTGACGAGGTTGCTGATGTTGCGGTTTCTGTCTCCACACAGTCCGTCTGACCTCCAACGGTTGTCGCTACAGAAATGGAGGATGTGAACATTTCTGCAGAGAGCTCCCGGATCGGTCTCACGTGTGTTTCTGCGCTCCGGGTTATGGTCTGGATCGGGACAACAGCACCTGCCAGCCTCAAGGTCTTTAACAGCTGAAATTCACAAGTTATAAATACACAAAAAGAGAAAACGTAAGAGCAGAAGACTGTCGCTCTGTCTCCATTTCAACTGTTTTACTTTTTACTTTTGGAAACAGAGGTGATTCTAGGTAATAGCAACCATCCCAAACACCCTAGCAACCACCTAGCAACCGCCGCCAGCACTGTGTCCAATAACAGTTCAATCTCAGGACATCTTGTTTATCTTTTACAAGGTTGAAATGCAGCCACATTAGCATCAGTGCTAATAGCATGAGAGCACTGAGCACCTTCAGGAGCTTTACTATCAGGACTGAATGCTTAGATTTCACAATATGATCAATAATACAAACAGTGCGAGAGGACTTACTTTTGATGCGACTTCCTGTTGGTCATGTGGCCTGTGTCACTGCTGACCACTGCTAACAGGAGCATGTGGATTTAATAAAATCCTATTTCTTCAGTATTGTAGGTACATTTTATGAAGGTTTCTTTATCTTTTAATTACAGTTAAAGACACTTAATCATATAAAGTATTACAGATAGTTTAATACATATTTCTGCATGTATTGTGCTATAGGAACACTTTAGCAACCCACTGAAACCACACTAACACCATAACAACCACGCACAATGCCCCAGTAGTACCACCACTGGAAACCCGTAGCAACCACAGCTACTAACAGCGAGCAACAAACCTAACAGTAGCAGAGTGTGTACATTTCTATATCTGACTACAATCATCTCTCTGGTTCCAGATAATGTGGCCTGTGGAAGACCTCTGATGCACTTTACCCCCAGGGTTGTTAACGGGCAGATCTGCCCCAAAGGACACTGTCCATGGCAGGTAAGTATTAGTTTAAGACAGATCGTCTCCAGTTAATCTAAATACAGAATAAAGTGTTAAACCGATATCCAACATAATAAAACACAGATGAATAAAGGTTTATAATGCTTTAATCTTCTCCTGTTTTACTAACAGTAAAAAGTATTTCTGTGTAATTTTAATGTATTAGTGAGTGAACTGACAGATATGTTGTATAATGATGGAAGTTGAATAAATGTTGTTTATCAGTGTATAAGGTAAACTGTCCAAATACAGTTGTTATCAGTGTAAACAGCAATAATTACTGTAATCTCACAGATAATGACTTTTATTACACTTCTATAACTTGTAATTATTATATTAATTTTCACATTTTCTTTTGACAGCGTAAGACTTCAATGATTATTCTAACTGAGATTGATGTGAAATGCTAACGCTGCCTCTCTTCTCAGGCTCTGCTAACTAAAGATCATGAGTATACCTGCGGAGCGATCGTCCTATCAGATCAGTGGATTTTAACAGCAGCTCACTGCGTCTGGCAGAATCCTGCCGCCCTCTACCACGTCATTGTGGGTAAGACAGGCTTTACACAGTCCAACTAAATAAACTCAAGGTTGGAATCAAATTAAAGGAAGGAAGTCAGACTCATTTGAGGGAAATGTTCCTCTCCTGTTTTAATAATTTGATATAAAACATTCAAATCTGTCCCTGTGAAGGTGAACATGACCGAGAGGAGGATGAGAAGACAGAGCAGCAGCGGCGGGTTGTCAAAGTGGTCATCCACCATAGTTACAACCAGTCCACCACCGACGCCGACCTGGCCATGCTGAAGCTCCACCGCCCTATCAAACTTGGACTCTACGTGGTTCCCATTTGCCTTCCCGCGCAGAACACCACCTTCAGCCGCACACTGGCGACCATCCGTCATTCCACCGTGTCCGGTTGGGGCCGCCTGGCGCGGTTCGGCCCCCGAGCCAGGTTCCTCCAGCGCCTGGTGCTGCCTAGGGTCCCTCTGCAGGAGTGCCGCCTCCACACCAAGCTCAACATCACCAGGAACATGCTCTGCGCCGGGCTGAGGACCGGCGGCCAAGACGCCTGCCAGGGCGACAGCGGCGGCCCTCTGGTGACGCGCTACAAGAAAACCTGGTTCCTGACGGGCGTGGTGAGCTGGGGGAAAGGCTGCGCCAATGAAAACCTGTATGGTGTCTACACCAGAGTCAGCAACTTCCTGGACTGGATCGAGGATGTCAAGTCCACTGGCTGAAATGGGTTCAATACGGGGATGTGACGGTTCTGAACCGAACCAGTAAACTCACAAATAATGTTAGAAAGTTAGAATCCAGTAGAGCACAAAGCGATAATAAGTCCCGTAGATGTTCCTCAGACAATATTATTAATGGTAGCAGTCACGTTTGAGTGGGTTGAATACAGATTCTTTATTAAAGGTCCAGTGTGTAACATTAATGTAATATAATATTAATAAGTAAGTGTTTCATCAAATGAAAATAACTTTAGGACGTTTTTCGTGAGTTGTGCAGCGCTGTAGTTTCACGTGGCTCCACCTCTGGTGAGCTTGACCAGGGGTGGACAATAAAAGCTGTGAAATCACTACGACCCAACCCCCGAGCGTACAACAGTGCTAGTGACTACTAGATATTTGTTCTTAGCTTAAAGTTATCGTCACTCTCACGTCGGGTTGTAAACATCATCCGTTGCCCTCAGAGGCACCACATCCTAAATCAGTAAAACTCAACTCACGCACCGGACAAGAACATTTTCTAATTGAGGAAAACAATCGGATTCACAGTGGGAATGTATTATTTTAAATGGATGAGTAACTGTTCAGTAATGAGCTTCATGAACCTGTTTAATGTTGGATAAACTGTTTCACATGTAACCAAAGCAAAGAGTTAATTCAGTTAATCTGAAAATAAAAAATTTAGAGTTATTGGACTTTTTATTTTATCTGATAAGTATAATTAATATTTGTTTATGAACTGACCCCGGGGAGAGGAAGGTGGAAGGACACGAACCCAGAAGGTTGTTGAACAGGATTTATTACGAATATATGGATTAAGAAATAGAGAATTAGAGGTTTTTATCACTTTATTCAGAGAAAACCTTTAAAGCAGCAAACAGTGTTATATTTCTAGATTCATGTATTACTATAATGTAGTCTAATAATAATTGGTCTGCTGTCTGAAGGACAGACTGAAGAGCTTCAAGAAGGTGAGCTACAGTGTGTTGGACTGAGTGGCTCAAGCTGTAAGAACACTGGTCCAAAGCTTTGAGGTTAAAGGTTCGATCCTCAAGCACACACGTAAGTTTTAAAGTGTGACACCCAGACGAAGACTGAAATCCTCTAAGAACCAGAGCTCCACTGTCTGACCCAGTAGCTCAGCAGGGTGGAGGACTGAAAGTTCTGAGGTTGTAGGTTCAAACCTCATGAGGATCAACATCCAAAGTGAAGCCTTGCCTTGCTTCCTTTGGTGAACCAACACATTTCCAACCAAAAGAAAAGACCAAGTCAAGTTAACCACACCCGACCACAGGACCGTGGATCCAGGGACCAGCCACTGATGGGAGTCGAACCAAGTACTGACCAGTACTGTCAATTTATTAAAACAACATTAATGTACAGTATTTCAGTTTACCCAAATGAAACTTTAATTTTCTCAATTAATTTGATTTAATTTTGATCGACAGCTGTCGTTCAAATGATGTCACAGTATTTAACTACATAATCAATAGGGCAGCAATCAATCTGTTGATCAGTTTATGTTTGCAAAATAAAATATTTTCTTATACAGAAATTCAATCTCAGGTTCATATATATAAACTATAAAGTCTAAATGTGTGATAGTGTGAAATAATATCAGCAGTGTCATTAATAAGTTTGGCCACTGGAGGAAGCTGCTGAGTTTCTAATCAGACAGAGATGTGTCTGTAATGTCACTCTTTGATCAATAATAATTACAGCTCAACACACCAAACTCCATTCAAGAAAACTACGATTTAAGGTGTGCCAAACAGGGGAAACCTTCACTAAATTAATTTATTCAGTATTCAGTGTTGAAGGCAAAGAGCAGCAGTCTGTTTGTTCAGCTCACATGAGATCAATGGCGGAGGCTGGGGGGGGGGGCAGACTTTGCACCCCTGGGTCCAGGATGAAAACCGCAGCACAGCACTCGACTCTGATGAAATCAACTATGTGGCTGAGACTTTTCTTCACCTTCGTCTTCAGCTCCTGCGGCTGCCGGGCGGCATCAGGTGAGGAAAGCAGTAAAAGTTGCTTTAAGTAGGGAGGGCCAATGTAAGTAAGGTTGTAACTAATTATTTTTTGGGGGAGTAACTGTAATTTAATTACTGAAAAGTATTAGTAATTAGTTACACTATTAGTTATTGGTGAAAGTAATATTATTACTAGTAATACCTTACAGACCAACACTTGACTCGATGATTGCAGGAGATTGACTGTCCGCTCTTTGGAAATGAATTTGTGCTGCATATTTTGCAGAGGAGGAGGTATCGGGCTGTGAACAACAAAGATGAAATAAATGGAAACTGACTGAATGTTTTTGTGAGTTATGATGTCAGTGTGAGATTATATGACAGCTTTCAGGGGAGACAAAAAGAGAAATCACAGTTATTCTTTTAAATATCCAAAAAACTTAAAAATCTGCCATTTTAAAACTATCATGAATGCTGCCAAGACAGCTGATCTAAAGCATTCTGTTGAACTTCCTGTTTGGTAGTCTTTCTGGATCCAGATCAAGCCCATGGCGTCCTGGTCCGGACTCGGAGGTATAACTCGGGCTGGCTGGAGGAGCTCCAGATGGGAGATCTGAAGAGGGAGTGTCTTGAGGAGAAATGCTCCTATGAGGAGGCCCGGGAGGTGTTCGAACACACCGAGACCACGGTCAGAGCTGGTTTCTTTTCACTCGGTTAAGTTTTCTTTTATTTAGGGATTAAATAATAATGTCAGTCTGACGTTTCTGTTTCCTCAGAACGAATTCTGGAAAATATACAACAGTAAGTAACCACACGTTTTCTCCTAATTACTGCTTCAATCTCGTACCGGTTTAAATGCTGGACCTCACTTCTTTAGGGATTGTTGCAGCCTTAAATGTCTGATTTTACAGCAGCGATGCATGTTGCAATGTTTTGTAGCATTTTTTCGCAATGAAATTGTGGGAGGAAGAGTAAATCACAAAAATAGCAACTTTGTTCCAGTAAGAATAAAATCTCTAACAGTTTGGACATGAAATAAATTCAGTATTCTCGTCCTGTAGTCCCAGACAGCTGTAAGTCGAACCCCTGCCTGAACGGCGGCAGCTGCTCCACCCAGGGTTCATCCTACACCTGCTACTGCCTGCCAGAGTTCAGCGGACTCAACTGTGAGCTCGGTGAGCAACAGACACAAACACACTGATCCTTACTCAAGTGAAAGTAGCAATACCAAAATGTAAACATCCGAATAGAAGTCCAAATGTTACTGTTTACGGAGCTTTAAATTTGTTGTTAAGTAATGTGTAAATAAACTTGTATGCAGACGACACACCGCTGTATGTCTGTAAAATCTGTAAAATGTGAGACCTGCCTGGACTCTCTCAGAAGAAATTAATTTAAATAAATCGTTACTTACTGTTAGTTCAAATATCAAAAGTAGAAGAACAGTATTTTGCAAACTGCATTAGTAAAATGTTCTAACTTCAGATTTAATTTTATTCAGGCAAAATGTCTTTTTAATACTTAAGTATTGAGAAGTTTGGCTTGTTTACTTGTTCTGTTTTGTGTTGTTACCAGAGATTCAGGTATTGTTTTTGCACCATTATTGAAAAGTGAACAAACAGCAACTTTACTGTATTGTTGTTGTTTTCAGAGTACATGGACGTTCCCGACACCTGCCTGCTGGAGAACGGAGGCTGTGACCATTTCTGTGACGAAGAGGTGGGAGGACGAAGTCTAAACTGCTCGTGTGCAGATGGCTACTTCCTGGATGTTGATGGGCGGAGCTGCGTAGCAAATGGTGGGAGGACGGTCTGAAATGTGAAAATGTTTTGTATTTTTCATCATCATCTAGATCTGAAGCACATTTCAGCCACAAACAAATGAAATTACATAAATGATAAATATCTATATTCAATGAATATCTATTTTTCTAATTTCTGGCTTTACCACAACAACATATCTCATAACTGACTAATGAAGAATTTCTTTTTTGCATCTTAAATCTTTTACTTTTTATATTTATATTTAATCTTCTCTACTCTGATGAATATCTTACAGTTTATGTAGTAATATTTTACCCGAAAAGCCAAACATTTGATTTAGTATTTAATCATTTTTACAATGAGCTTTTTTTTTTTATCCATCATTCCTTGATTTTCCATCCATTTCTGTCTGGTACTATTGTCTAAGTGCTTAATCATAAAGTTTATGACTAATTCCTGCAGCACTCTATTCAGAAATTGATGTTTTTGAGTCAATCTGACTGAAGAAGGAATCTCAAACACTATTGAGATGTCTTACATTTGAACATATGAGAGCTTCATTCTCACAGAAACTAATGTTTTTATGTCTTTTTGTCAGACTTCATTGATGCTTTTGCAGGAAATCTCCCTCTCTGCTCTACAGGGGCCCCAACAACTCACCTTTGGACTCCCCTCACACTGACCTGACTAATTAACTGTGTGTACAGTTTGTCCAAAAAACTACATTTCCCTTAACCTTATTTATAGTGCAACTGCGCCCCAATGCACTAAAAACTACTGTGTGTCCAACAAGGTTCAACAAGGACAAACATTTCTCCAGTTTTAAGAATCCGTAACAAAATCAGTGTCATATTTTGCTGGTTTCATTAAAAATTACGTTTTTTGTGGTTGGCCGTCGCCAAGGTCTTGCTCATGGTGGGAACTGTTGGGTCTCTGTAAATGTTATAAGGAGTTCGGTCTAGACCTGCTCTATTTGAAAAGTGTCCTGAGATAACTTCTCTCTGTTATGAATTGGTGCTATACAAATAAAATTGAATTGAAAATTTAATTTAATTGGTTTCAGAGTCGGTAGTGTGCGGCATGGTCCCCATCCTGGAGGGGGAGAACAAAGCCAATCAGCTCGACCCTCGAGCTCGAATTGTTGGAGGAACCGAATGCCCCAAAGGTGAATGCCCCTGGCAGGTACGCTGACGCTACAGGAACTGTGTGTAGTTTTGTAGTCTCATTTTTCACTCCAGTTTCAGTCATGATATTCAGTTAATGGACTCCGACCTCTGAAATTCAGCCAAAACCAAGATTCTAGTGGAAATCCCGAAGTTTCCAAAGATAGGAAATATGTCAGGTGTTTAGTTTAGAAGCAAATTAAGCTCCAGGAACATAATATGTAAACAATTAAATGACCAACCAGGACATTAAGAAGGCCCTCATAATATGTGAGTAAATGTTTCTTAAGGTTTTGCTGGTTTACAAAGGCAAAGGTTTCTGTGGAGGAGTGATTTATAAACCCACATGGATCCTCACAGCATCTCACTGCCTGGAGGACACCGATGCTCAGTTCCTGAAGGTGGTCGCAGGTACGAATCCCTCCGTTCACAGCAAATGCCTTCATCTGACATGTGACCATATTCATCTGCGTTTGTGTTCCTGACATGGATCTGTGGATCCTGCTCTTTGTCTGCCAGGTGAACACAACACGGTGGTCAACGAGGGCACGGAGCAGCTCATCGAGGTTGCCGAGATCATCATGCACGAGAACTACGAGACACGCACTGCCAACAACGACATCGCCCTCCTTCGCCTGGCGTCGCCCATCACCTACACCACTTATGCCGTCCCGGCCTGTCTGCCGACGCGTCCCCTGGCCGAGCGCGAGCTCTGGGCCGTCAGCCTGCACACGGTGAGCGGCTGGGGGAGGAGGAGCGAGAACGGACCCACCTCACACCTCCTGCGGCGTCTGAAAGTGCCGCGGATCCGGACCCAGCAGTGTGTGGCGGAGAGCGGCGTGGTGCTCACCGAGAACATGTTCTGCGCCGGGTACATTGAGGGCCAGCAGGACTCGTGTAAAGGCGACAGTGGCGGACCCCTGGTGACAGAGTACAAAGGGACGGTGTTCCTGCTGGGCATCGTCAGCTGGGGGAAGGGTTGCGCCCGACCGGGCAACTACGGCATCTACACCCGAGTGTCCAACTACCTGGAGTGGATCCACAACCGAACAACACCATCACCACCGCCGCCAGCTCAGCCAACAAACAACACCACGCCTTCCTTACACAACGTGAATGCGAGAGCGGAGCTACAACATTTACTGCAGTCAAACAGTTCACAGTGGTAAAGCTTGTTCAAGTCGAGTTAATTACATGTAAACTAAAGTACACTGCAATGTCATGTCTTATTTCAGTTTACAGAATGACTGTACTTTTTTACTGGATATTTTGTTTTAAGCACAAATAAACAGAAAATGAAGGCAGTGTCACACTGTAAAGTGATAAGTGATTTTAACTCAGACACATTGTACATAGTATAGTGCAGTGTAACTTATAAAAGCTGCTTCATCAACAATCTTTTAACAAATTCATTTGTTATACTTAAAATTTAGTTAAAATAACTGTTGATATTACAGTGTATCAAAGAAAAAGGACAAAATACCCAAAGTCAACAACATCGGGTAGGAAGCCGCTCTGAACGGAGATAAACCGCCGTTATGACATCACAACAACAACTTGGACTCACTGTTATTGTCTCAATATAACACAACGTGATTGTTTACTGCTTAAATGTTGCTGTCACTGTCCTGTCGAGGTGTCTTCTAATGTAACATATCTGAAATAATAAATATAATAAACTATAAGTCAAATGTAATTATAAATATAAATATTTGAATGTGTCTTATAATCTTTTGTATGAAAAAAACACATGAAATATTTGTTGTGTTTCAGTTTACAACAGTTTGTAGAGATTATGGATTACAGATTATGGAATTGCTCATACATATATTAATAATCAATCAATGCATAAATCAGACTGAATGTACAGTCAGTGAATGAGTCAACTCGTTTGCTTACAGCTTTAAGTCTGTTTGCTAATTTCACAACTGTGTAAAACCCTCAGTCCTGCACACACAGCACAGTGTTATCTGTATGCATCTGAGTACTTGTACCGCAGTACTGGACTTCAACTATTTACTTTTACTTTACTGGAGTATTTTCTTTTAATGCAACAAATACTTCTACTCCAGATTTTACAATTATTCATACATAATTTTACTGCGACAAGTACTTTAACTACTCATACTGTAACTACATGAAGCTGAGAAAACATTATTGTTTTTTCACTGAACTGCAGATAATCGATAAATCAATAGGAAGTCAAATGCAGGGCAGAGTGGAAATGTGTTTACTGACCTGGTTAAAACTGACTCAGAGGGTCAGAGGCTCGGTGGGCGTGGACTAAAAGAGCCCCACGTCTCCTACAAACACACTTTGTCCTCGTTCTGCTGAGACATTGAACACAACATGCTGCTGAGGAGCTGCTGCGCCGTCTGGTTACTGTCAGCCATCGCTGCTGCTGCAGGTCGGTTTGTTCTGCTGAAACATTACGTTAGCATTTTAGTAACTCAAGTCTTTAAATAAACTAATGATGACTCATAATAACTTACTTTTATTCTTCAGAAAAACTTTATTTATTTATTTTTATTTTTTTCTGCTTTTGTGCTCAGTGAAAAACTAATTGAACATTTTCAAAAGCAACTGTTACTACTGTTACTATAAAAAAATCAGGTTTAAAACAATTACTGAAATGCAGATTTGTTTTGTTTCTAAAACTCAGAAATGTAAGTTTTCCTTTAGTCTATAGCTTGAAGGCTGGGGGGTATAAGTCGTCTAGCTAAGAGAGATATCATATTATTTGCGCCTACGTCAAAAATTACAGTAACAGCAGAAGGTTCAATGGATACTTCTAAAAACAAGCACTAAGTTTCAAACTGGAGTCCAGAAGAGAGCCGGGTGGTTGACGGACGCTGATATAAAACTACAAAGATGCAAGAATCTAAAAAAGGTGACAGCGGGGGAGGTTAAACTTTAACATTCGCTGATCAAAGCATATGAACGAACGTATTTTAGTTTATTTTAAACCTTAAATGTTAGGATTTTGACCAATTTTGTTCAGAAAAATGTCTGTTACAAAGGTTTTCTGGACTGTCCGGTTTTTACAGCGTAATAAATGATGGCGGTTTGTTTCAGTGTTTGTAGAGAAGCATGAGGCCAACGGCGTGCTGCAAAGATGGCGGCGAGCAAACAGCGGCTTCCTAGAGGAGCTAAAACAAGGAAACCTGGAAAGGGAATGCATCGAGGAGATCTGCGACTACGAGGAGGCTCGAGAGGTTTTCGAGGACGAAGACACGACGGTCAGAGTTCTTCCCGTCGTAGAACCCTCAAACTGTACTCAAAATTACAACCAAACTTTAGTCGCTGCGGAAAAAAACCCTGAAAGTCTGAGTTACAGGTTCTTTTACAAAAACAGACATTTATTTATGGACAATGCGGCTGTTATTCTTAAACACTGTACAAAGTTAGCGGTTTGTGTATGATATATCGCAGCTTAAGAACTTTAGCTTTAGCTCATTTTCTGAATCAACATGATTTGTGTTAGAAGCATGTTTTTACATCTATCTGCCTCCTCTTTATACATTCTGTCAGCAGGTTTAGTCACGTTCTCTGTTAGCGCAACAAAAACAGACGGATAAGTCAACGTTACCGATCACACAATGTACTGTGAGAGGATTTTAAGATTAGATGATCGATGGTGAAATGATTGCACTGACTTATGGACCATTCTTTCTTTGGAGTAGAAACATAACCTTTACCTCGACTGAATTCTGACGACATACACGTGACTGTGGTGTGCAATTTGGGAGCAATGACAAAGTATTGAAAGATGATTATTAATACTAATGATAACTGAACACTTTCTGTTGGTTTCCTCTTTGCAGAAGCAGTTCTGGCTGACGTACGAACGTAAGTAATTATTTTTAGTGTTTTAATCTGAGCGATAGTTTGACAGGGTCCATATTGTTTTGGTCCAAAGGTTTTATTTTATTGTCGAGCAGTATATTGATTTGTTCCAGTGTTGATTTATGAGAACCTTTCTGAAGCCTGTGATCAACTGTTATTGATGCTCATTCTTCTGTCGTCTGTTCAACAAACACCAACAATCACTCAACTGATCCTGAGCGTTTTATATCTTGATTATAAAACATTTAGTTCTGTTCTCTTTGTGTTTTGGTGAATGATTATCATGTTATATATTGACGATTATATTTCAGAAATTAAAACTTCCATATGTGAGATTCTGCAGCATTTTATGTTTCTGTGAGAATCAGCAGTGAGTGAACGGGTTGTAACGCAGCGACTTATCTTAATATGTTCATATATTTTCATCGATAGTAACGTTATTCTAAATATGATTGTCAGTTATTTTACAGCGCTCAGTCAACCGGACACTGACTGCAGTTCACTGAATGGCCATTGGTGTCACTATTTTACAGTTTAATGACAGTTACATATAGTAAGATTCATAATAATAATAATAATAATAATAATAATAATTTTATCAGGTCGTGACCCCTGCTTGGATAACCCGTGTCAAAACAACGCCACATGTATCTACATGAGGACGTCCTACCAGTGTTTATGTCCTGAGGGCTTTGCGGGACAATATTGTGAGACAGGTAAGAAAAATACTAAGAATTTAAATGACCAAACTCACGTTTAACAGTAGCTGGAGCCAGAATCTGGACTTGGCTTCACACTTGTCCTACATATTATTTTATATTATTTTATTTATAATATAAATGTATATTAATACTGTGTAATGCAGTGAATAATGTTTCTTTCCTCAGTGGTAGAAGACTTACTGAAGTGTCTATACCAGAACGGACACTGTGAGCATTTCTGCGACGGCTCGGGTGAGCGCAGTAAATGTTCCTGCGCTGACGGATACAAGCTGGGAGCGAACGGACGCCAGTGTATCGCTCAGGGTAAAAACTCTACAACTGCTTCTTTAAAGCAGCGATGCCTTTACGGTGACACTGCGAGTATTACACCAACCCATGATCACATTAACAAACCCATGACCTTTTTGTTTCTTAAAAAAATCCTCGAAAATGATTAATCAATTATCAAAATGGTTGACAATTAATCGACTAATTGTTGCAGCTCTAAACATGAACAATATAGTCTCATATTTAGGTGTCAGATGGGAAAGATTCAGCCCTGATCTGCCCCCTAGTGCACATATTTTTTAATCCTCGTCGTCACACCAGTTCTGTAGCGCTCAGAGTGAAACTGTGTGTGCTTCCTTACAGTGGAGTATCCGTGTGGTCGGCTGGCTCCACAGAAAACGGACCTGAACCAGAGCGTCGTGGGTCAGACCCGGCTGGTGGGAGGTAACCACTGCCCCAAAGGAGCGTGTCCTTGGCAGGTAAACACCGCCGTACCACTGCTGGGGGTATTACAAAGGGTGCATCCTCTGGAGAGCAGGAACGGGAAGAAAATCTTAGATTTTGACTGCTTAAATTTAAATAAATTTCGAGGTGTGAGAGAAGAAGTCAAATCATCAGGATTCATCCTGTTAATCTGAAATATACACAGATAATTCTCCATCCATCTATCTATTGATCGATCAGGTTCTGGTTCAGTTACATGGAGACAGCCACTGTGGAGGTGTTCTAATCAATCCGGACTGGGTCGTCACTGCTGCCCACTGTATCCACGGCAACAACCCCCAAAACCTCACTGTGGTTGCAGGTAACTAATCGGCACTTTGTAATCAGTTACATTATTGTTACTTTGATTTCTCATTAATGGTTTCTCCTCGGTTACCAGGGGAACACAACTTGGACGTGGAAGAGGGCACAGAACAGAGGATACCTGTTGCCATGGCGATCGCCCATGAAGGCTACGTCCCGGAGACTGGTGACAGCGACGTCGCCTTGCTGAAGCTGATTCGGTCCGTCGCCTTGGACCGCCACGCCATCCCCGTCTGCCTGCCGACCGCAGACTTCGCCCGGCAGGAGCTCCTGCTGTCCCGCTACCACACCGTGTCCGGCTGGGGCAAGAAGACCACTGGGGGCAACAAGGAGCCCGGTGCCACGCACGCCGCCCCGTTGTCCCCCATCCTCCGCAAACTTTCCGTCCCAATCATCCAGAACTCCCAGTGCTCCCACAGGGCCCAGTTCAACTTCACCCACAACATGCTGTGTGCGGGATACCTGGAGGGCGGCCAGCAGAGTTGCCGCGGTGACGACGGGAGCCCGCTGGTCACACTCTACGGCTCCACCCACTTCCTTACGGGCGTGGTCGGCTGGGGGCGGGGCTGTTCACACCCAGGGTATTACGGGGTGTACGCCAACATGGCCAACTTTGTGGAGTGGGTACGGGGCATCATGACGACAGCAGCCAATGAGAATCCACCGGAGAGCGCTGCAGCGCCGACCTCGGACTTACTGAAGCAGAAACTTGTTTAATAAAAGATCCTTTTTAGGAAGCAACAACAACTGTTTATGTTTTTACGGTTTCATTCTTTGTGTCATGAAACATAATCAGGACGTTTAAAGTGCTTTAATTCTCCAGTTTCATCGTCAGGTTAGATAATGATTTACTTTTTATTTATGATCAAGGGTGACGTATAATGTATCGGCTGTAATGTAGAAATAAATGTTACAAACAACGTTGGTCAGATCTCAAATATATATATATATATGTATATAAATATAATAAATATTTCCAAGTCAAGGCCACATTGCAAGATATCCGTACAAAACCAAACCAGGAAGTGGATTCATTGTGTTTAATGATGATATGAAATATTCCCATCAAATTAAGAGAAGTACATTACACTGACTGCATTTAATAAAAACCCCACTGAACATCTCAACATCTGTACCTTATGTACACAAAGGATCACTTTACAAACTTCAGTTAGAAGCTGAAGATGTGCAACTCTTATATCTTAAAGCATGTTACTGAACGTCATAACAATAACAATAAATTATATATATATATATATAAAATCATAATAATCAACATTTAAGAAACATTTCACAGTATTTAATGGGGGGCGGTGGCCTTACTTCCTACTTCTACAGTTTGTTTGACACTTCTGAGCCACCATACACACGTTTTTTGTTTCTGCTGCATTGTGGGACGACAGATCCAGGCGAGTTTGTGTATAAATTAACATTTTTAACAAATCAAAAGAGCAGCGTTAACTAAAATACTTTGCAGGTTTTACAAACCTTTAATGAGCATATAAATACAAAGTAATGTTTAATAGTGTAGAAAATACAACAACATTCAAATGTTGAAGTGGAGCAGTAAAAAGAGAGCCGACCCTGTCGACCTCACCGATGAGTCCTCATTTACTGTAAACGTCACCCCCTCCTCCCCCCTGTGGAGCGCTGCCAAAGGAATTCCTCCTCCTCCCTCGTACCAGTGCGTACAACGTGTGAGACCTCCTCCCACCATCACTATCTTCCTCTTCATGCAACATCACGTTTTCAGTCACGTTTGGTTGTTTTAAGATGGAAACGCTGAGCAGACGATATAAAGGAAGCTACATGAGACGATGTTATGCCTCAAGAATCCAAAAACCAAAAGATCAAACCAGAAGCTTTATCTGCTGAGGTCACCTTCCTCTGGGCAGCCAGATTCAACAAGAAGCTCTTTAATGGGTCCAAGATGTGGAGATTCTCAGTTTGTCTGTAAGAAGGCTTCAACAGAAACATCGGTTTTATTTTTATATTTAAATCCCCGCCCCCTTTTTGCTCTGTGCTCCAATCACAGTCATGGTTCAATTAAACTTTGAATATGTTCGCTATTGTTAAGTAACTAAAGCTGTCAAATAAAAACAAGTACGAACTAGAATATTTACAGTAAAAGTAAACTAATAACTTTATGGAAAACCAGATCAATGTCTAACTCCATCCAGCCATCACTCTGAAGTTTTGTGCTTGGACGTTTGTTCCAGCAATGCACCCTGGGGCTTGTAGTCTGTGCAGGAAATCTGAAGATAAGCCCCACCCAGTCCGATCAGAGCAGCTTCAACATGTCGGCACCTCTTTCCCCCCCCAACTACTCTCTCTCTCTCTCCACACAGGTCACTGCCCTCTCTATCACCCCTCCTTCTCTCCCTCTCTCCACACTCAGACTCCATTACTTCTACTCGGCACACTGAGGTTTCTACAGCCGAGCTCACCATCCATCCGGGGCCATGTTTTGGTTTCACCGACTGTCCCTCGGCCTCCTGCTGCTCCACCTGGCCGCCGCTCACGCAGGTACGTTCGCTAAAATCTGAACTTTCAGGGAGGATGAAGAGGAGAGGAACGTGGAGTTAAAGCAGGGGGGAAAGTTGTGTTGAGAGGGTGTTTTGGGAGGTGGTGGGAGGTGGAGGGGGGGTTATGTGTTGATTGGCGGCTGGCAGGTGACACTTGACCCCGTCCTGTTTTGTGTGTTCAGTATGTTGTGTGTCTTACAGATTTTAGATTTGTGATGATTGACAGCTCTTTCCTTCACAGACACCAACATTACATCTCATTGGACAAAGAAACCACTTGCTGGGCCGTGATTGGTCCTTTTTCTGTTTTCACACTAGAAACTTTCTTGTTAATGAAAACTTTTCAGAGGCGAGAAAAGGTGGAAGGAGCTTGAAAGCTTTAAAAGATTAAGTTATTTATAAAAGTGCTACTTTACTCGGTGACATCACTTCACACAGCTCACCTGTCAGTTGCGATCAACAGTTCGCAAATTCAACCGATCACAGTGAATTCTATCCAATCACATTTCCACAAACGTAACCAATCCTTGTCGATTAACGCACAAAACGTTACCCCCAAGTTCCAGCGGGTACAGCTGATCTGGTTGCCTTTGGTATGTGAGATAGAAGCACAACCTCCCGAACGCCTTGGATAAAAAACGCTCAGAGACTAAATAATGTGAACTGATGAGGTATTTCTGTTCTCTTGCCAGTCTTCTTGGACGGCAAGGTGGCCAGTCAGGTGCTGATGCGGCGGAGACGAGCCAACAGCTTTTTCGAGGAGGTTAAACAAGGCAACATGGAGAGGGAGTGTTTGGAGGAGCGTTGCAACTGGGAGGAGGCGCGAGAGATCTTCGAAAACGCTGAGAAAACTGTATTAACCTCCTGCAACTACACACCAAAACACTGCTGTCAGACAAGTCCTAAAGAAACACATAACTTTAGAACACCCTATTTGTTAGCTGTTCTACAGTTTAGCTTAGCCTAACTTAAACTACTGTAGCGCAAAGACTGGAAGGAGGGTGCTACCCCAGCCTAGTGTAGAAATACAAATGTAAAACCAAGACAGCAACAGCTAGCATCGGAGCTCTTTCTTGTTGTAATTTTTTCTATCATACAAGATTCAACATGTAAAAAAAGAGTTTCAGATCTAAACACTCCAATAAAATGACACTTTAAAATCCACAAAGGCCAAAAAACCTGGACCACACTTTCTTCACTGATACACACTGATCAGATTTTAAGTTGTTTTGAACTATTTCACTCTCTGTTTTTCTTTTTTCAGAATGAATTCTGGGCCAAATATGTCGGTAAGGCATTTTGTTCTGTGTTGTCAAAACAACTTCTGTTCGTAGGAGGCGCTGTAATCAGGGAATGCACCCTTAAAGGTCCAGTGTGTAACATTTAGGAGTATCTATTGTCAGAAATGGATAATAATTGCTGTGTTGTGTTTGGCACCAAATTAACTGACAAATGACTTCTATTGGCTGGTCGTAAGTTACATCCCATCAAAACTCCCCTGACTGAATGTTGTGTTTGTCCTGCAGATGGCGATGCCTGTGAGTCGATGCCCTGTGCAAACCAAGGACTTTGCAAAGACGGGATAGGAAGCTACGACTGCTACTGCCAGGCCGGGTATCAGGGCTTCAACTGTGAAATCGGTACAGAAGCGCAGTCGCTCTGGACAGCTGGGATGAAGCTCAGTGTTCTTTAGAAAAACCCTAACTGTCCTTTATAAACAGTCTCAAGGAAGATCTGCTGGTTCTGAAGTGTAGTTTACAGGAAACATGGGACTCTCTTGGATAATATGACGATCCTGTAGGTTTTGTTTAAGAGGGACAGATGGTTTGGATTTGGTAAAAGTTTAGTGAAACTCTGGAGGAACTTCAGTCTACTTTATCTAATGAATTACCAATTCATGTCCAGTGCCAACGTTCAGTGCCACAGCAGGAAGTAGAGTCCTTTATGTGCTGTATCAAGGTACAAAGTAAGAGTTGAGCTACCTGGTGGATTGTCTAAACATCCCTCCCTGCTCTTCACATTGTTTCCTATGTCATTGCAGTTATTCCAGAGCTCTGTGAGAACAAAAATGGCGGTTGCGAACACTTCTGCAATGTGGTCCGAGGAAGCGTTCAGTGCTCCTGCACGGACGGATATTTCCTGGCATCAGATGACAAATCCTGCAACTCTAACGGTGAGACAGACTCAGTAGTCTAGTATTTTAATGGTCCCACTGCAGTCAAGTCCACCACACTTCAGACTTTGGGAATGACTCCATGGCACCACCATCCGGACAAAATGTCTACATGTTCATAAGAAATATCAAATCAGCACTGCTCTACTTTCAGAATCATATCAACTTACATGGTTCTTTCACTCATTTAGCTTTGCACAAATCCTGACCTCTAAACTTCACATGAATCCTTGCAGAGACCTTCAAATGTGGCGCCATCATTACCGAAAACATCCGGACTGTGTTCAGGTATGAGCGGCAGAACACAACGGAGGGGAACGCCACCATGTCGGCCCCCACAGGCACCAACATTAACTCCACCGAGCAGAAGGATGTGCCAGACAATGTAGATGTCTCAGAGACTTCACGTTTTGAGAACAGCAACAACAGCTTTATGTCTGGAAACGAGGTTTTCGAGAAAATGATCACCAAACAAATGGCAGCTATGACCCGCATTGTCGGCGGAGAGGACTGTCCTCCAGGAGAATGCCCATGGCAGGTAGAGACACTTGGGGTCCATTATTATCCTGGACAGATATTCTAAATGTTTGTGTATAATATGAACTTTTGTTGGTCTCGTCCTTGCAGGCTCTCCTGCTGAACGAGGAGGACCGAGGGTTCTGCGGAGGAACCATCCTCAACGAATACATCATTCTGACCGCTGCCCACTGCATGAACCAATCACGATACATCTACATCAAGCTCGGTAAGTCAGACTAACCAACCAGCTCAAGCACTTGATGCTGCCGTTCAGGTGTGGCTGTGTGTTCAATAGGAGGCTGTAAATGTATTCAGTTTTTTTGTGCTTTCACACATTTGATTTTGTGACTTTTTACAGTTTAATTGGTGATGAACTTAACTCTTGGTTTGTAAATGTAAATCACAGAAAAGTACCGTTGTTTGTTTTGTAAAGTGCGTTGAGCTTCATTTCCTCTAATAAAAATAGTTTGTTACCATATCAGCTGTTATTAATTGTCCAATTATTACAGAAACTACCCCGACTTAAATTATTATTTCTGTGCATTCAGGTGAGTTTGACGTGTTGGTGGATCAGGGCAATGAAGTCACCCACCATGTGGAAACTATCATCACCCACAATAAATACAAGCCGGACACCTACCACAATGACATCGCACTCATCAAACTAGCCACGCCCATCAAGTTCACCAGGTTCATCCTGCCGGCCTGCATACCTGAGCAAGATTTTGCTGAAAAGGTGAAGGAAAATATGCATTTTGCTTTTTCACTGGAAAGATTACTGGTCTGGGTCAAGAAAACCTGAAAATGGAGAAATGTCGATAGGTTTTTGGACAAATGAGACAAATGAGTTGTTACATAGTGAAACTTAGAGGTGCTGGTTACCTTTGGACAGAGCCGTGCTAGCTGTTTGCCTCTGTTTCCAGTCTTTACTCTAAGCTAACTTAACTCGTACTTGCCATACACACAAGAATGGCATCAATCTTCTAACTCTCAGAAAGAATTGGTGCATTTCCCAAAAAACTGAACAATTGCTTTAAAACCACAGTTAAATGAATGTCTTACTTCTTCTTGCAGGTCCTGATGCGACAGCCGGACGGCATGGTCAGCGGTTTCGGTCGTCTCGGCGAGGGTCGGCAGCCGTCCACGATCTTGCAGCGCCTCACTGTCCCCTATGTGGATCGATTAACCTGCTTAGAATCCACCCAACTACGAATCTCCGCCCGCATGTTCTGCGCCGGCTACGACCAAACAGCCAAGGACGCCTGCCAAGGTGACAGCGGCGGGCCGCATGTCACGCGGTACCGCAACACCTATTTTGTCACTGGCATTGTGAGCTGGGGCGAAGGCTGTGCACGCAAAGGCAAATACGGCGTCTACACCCAGGTGTCCAAGTACATCCGCTGGATCCGTGAAGGCATTGAAAGGCTGATGCCCAAAGAGAAGAGCGGCAACAGAGTGAAGAGGCACCACGGCGCCATCAAGAGGCTGGTTCTGTAACGCTGCAGATTTCACTCTGATTTCCACTGAGCAGAGCTCGGCCACACTCTGTGCCTCTCATGTAATCCTCTATTTTATGTTTGAGACTTCTAAATAGGCACATTTCAGCCACAGAAACTTATAATTTGAGAAAATGTATTTTAAAGGCAGTACAGAAATTCAGCATTGATTCATATTTTGGCCACTTGGTGGCAGCAGAACAATCTGTAAAAGCAACATTCAATATTCATATTATCAGTTATTATTAAGTAGTTGAGGCTAACATGTTAGCAAACAGCTGCCTTTCACATCAGAGCAACACTGACATTGTTCATAATTACTTGTGGGGTTTCTCAGGGTTCTATTCTTGGGCCTTTATATTTTTACTTGTTAAAAGCTGCATAAAATTGATTTTTTTGTCCACTTGGGGGTGACAGAACAAACTGTGAACCCCACATCTGACATATTATAAGCTTATAAAGTATTGTTATAAACATGTTAGCCAACAGTAGCCTGCATGTAAAAAGAAAATGTACAAGAATAATAACATTAACAATAACAACATTAGCAATCCGATCTGATCTTGACTGAACACTTTGTTTAGTATTAATAAAAAGTGTAAACCAAACATTGTACGTTTTCATGTATTTTTTAATCTGCCACTGCTTTTTGAGCCGAATTTAACACAAATAAAAAAATACTACAACAGTCCTGATTTTGACATTTCTTTGTGTTATTAAAACATAAACTTCATATGAATGTTTTCGCTGTATGTGAAGTACATTTTATATTTACATTTACACTCATTTATTCTGGGGCTTTTGATTTTTTTTAGGTTAAACATCAAAGTTAATTACAGAAACAACAAGAATTAGTGATAGTTAATTGTAAATCACTTTGATAATCAATAAAAGTCATTAATTCAAAGGATTTTCTGCTTTTTCTTTGTTATATTATAGTTACAAGTAACATTTGAAGGACTCCATCCACTAATGAGGAGATAGTTGTAAGTGGACCTGACTTAACTGACCTGGTTATTCTGTGTTACTGGGTAGAACTAAACAAATATATACTTCATGACTAGTTTCGTTAGGAACTATGAAGGATCATATACATTTCCAAAACTTCTTGTTGCAGGGCTTCTTTAAGAACAATTCAACAGTTCTCTCTGTTATTTTATCGGGATCATTTTAAATTATTAATCCCAGTGGTGAAATTCCTCCTTGTTTACCTCAAATAAACAAACCTACAGAATAGTGAATTTTCAGAGGTCAGAGTCGCTGCTTGTTTTGCGAGCTTTGAGGCCAGAGTCCACCGCAGGAACATAGTGTTTACTGAGAAGTGTTTTCTTTACTTTAACTCTGTGTGGGAACAGATCTGACCTGAAAATCTGACTCCTGTGAAAAGACTGAAGACTTAAAAGATCATGTTTTGTAAAAATGTGTATAATCGCAGTGCAAGTCGGTCTGTAAACTTACTGATTAAAACTTAATTATATTTCTATTAGTTTTACTGAAGCTTTTCAAACATGTTGGATTTTTTAAAACAAGTGCAACAGACTTAAACTTAGATTTAAACTCCGTCATTTTCCTGTGTAATGAATCGGTTGTGACTCATCAGTGTGCAGATTTGTGTGTGTGTGTGTGTGTGTGTGTGTGGTCGCAGTGGAGTCAGTGTCATGGCGGTCAGCATCATGTCGGCTCGCTGTCGAGCGTCCGTTCTGTTCCTCTACCTCCTCGGTTGCTTCCTTCATGTCCTCGTCCAAGGAGAAGGTAAGACCTCTGACCTTTGACCCTCTGCAGCGTTTTGCTTATAGTTTCATTTTAATCAGATCAGATATTAAAGATTGAGCTGGAAATGTATGGAGGTCTATTTGTGCCAAAAACACTTTGCATAACTCACCTTAATGTCAGGCTGTATTACACTCAGTATGTCACAATTATGACTTAAATAAGTTTATAAACTTCATCAGAACTCATAATTCCTACTTTTGGAGTAATTAGGTCATAATTGTAAATCAGTATCTTATAACTATAACAAAGTATGTCAAAATTACAACTTAGTAAAAACAATTATTACTTATTAAGGGAACATTATGATACATACAATATATTATAAATAAATAAAATTATGGTACAGTTAATTATAATGAATAACTTCAATACAGAATCACGACTCAGTGTGGAGGATGAACAACTTTCATTAGTTAGATAACTATTAATGTACATTAGTGAAAGGTATTATTATTATAATATAATGAATATAGTAATATAAATAATACTTTTATGTGCTTTATACCTTTATTACGTGATTATTATTACACAACTTATTGTGTCATAAGTATTAATTATTAAGTAGATATATTATGCATAACTAACACTACACTATGACTTTGGGATCAATATTTATGCACTCAACATATTAACTCAAATTATTTCAGTTCATTATGAATCGTTATTGTTGTAACGTATGACAATATATCACATTACCTATGTGTCACGTTACATTATGTTTTTTCTGTGATTATGATTTAAATGAATGAATATTAAATTCATACACAGTCTGACTGCAGTGGTACATTTATTACTCCACTACACCGTGCAGAGAGAAGCAGTTATGTTTGTGGTAAAGTCGGTCTGGTGCTCGCAGTGTTTCAGGCTCCGCAGGCCCAACACGTGTTCCTGCGCTCCAGACGGGCCAACACGTTCCTGGTGGAGGAGATCCTGCAGGGGAACCTGGAGCGCGAGTGCTATGAGGAGCTGTGCAACTACGAGGAGGCCCACGAGTACTTCGAAGACACCGCCAAGACGGTAAGACGCTCCCCGATAGAGATAATAATGATCGATACGTATGGATGATTATGGGAAATGATGCTGGTTGTGTTTGTGTCTCCACAGATCGCCTTCTGGACCGTTTACTACGGTGAGTTTTCATCAGCCTTAAACTGATCATTCAATCATGAGATCAATACATAATTTCTGAGATATTGGTAATATGGACGATCGATATGATTGACAGGTTGGTAACATTCAGTCCTGGTTCTTGTGGTGGCAATTTGTTTAATAAAGCATACAAAGTATGATCCTGTCTTTCTGTAAGGTTTTATTCAAGTCTTCCATGAATGGTCTCAACGCAGCCGTCACACACTCTCGTATGTGAAAGTCCAAAAGAGCCCCGATTGGCAGAAGCAGTATGGTTTTATCCCTGTTGGAGCGTGACTCTAACACAGTTACACATTCCTGAGTTGTGGGACAGTAAACAGACAGATAGTGTGGTGAGATGATCATGTCCTTCTTAGTGAAGTCTCAACATCCCGCTGTTTACTTGGACATAGAGTGTAGGTAGAAACAGGGCTAAAGGTTATATGCATATAATATCCTCTTTAACAGTTGCGTATGGTTTTACAATGACCAGGTCAAAGGTTGTATAGGTTCTTAAAAATTGCCATTACATTCTCTTGATTGTTCTTCCCCAACCATTATTGATCCGCTGTATCTCGATCAGTCTCATTGATGGTCTGTGTGTCTCTGAGCAGACGGGGACCAGTGCAAGCCGAACCCCTGCCTCCACGGAGGGAACTGCACCGACAAAGTGGGGGGGTTCCACTGCTCCTGCGCCACCCCCCACTACGGAACAGTCTGTGAACTGGGAGCGCCTGGAGATGGAGGACAGCCACCCTCCTCGCCATGTTGGCCCACACCCACAGGTACACCTTCACAGGGGGGCGGGGCCTATAGGCCTGAATCTCGCGGTGTGTTCAGTGGCAACACGGTACAACCTGCGGTTTCTGTGAACTCATTCTTTTCTGTCTGATCCAGAAATCTCAGAGTGTCTGACTGAAGGTCCGACAGCGTGTCACCAGCTGTGCACGGCGTCCTTCCCCACCTTCACCTGCTCCTGCATGTCGGGATTCAAACTACAGACGGACGGACGAAGCTGCCTGCCTGAGGGTCTGACACACCCCCCAAAACCAGAAACACACAAACATGTTTACCAAACCAGTTCAAACTGGTTTAACAACCCCTCTCTGTGTCCACAGTGGAGTTTCCCTGTGGAAGACTTCCTGACCAGTTCAACACGACTGCGGCAATGTGTCACCATGGAAACTGTCCCTGGCAGGTAAGATGCTCTCAGCCAATCACAGCCAGGTATCAGCTCTCCCAGACATTAGTGATAACGAGTTAAAGGCTCAGGCTCAGCTCCTGTTGTGTGTTTGTTTTCTGTCTCCAGGTGTCCCTGCAGAACTTCGACGGGGTGGAGCTGTGTAGTGGCGTGGTGCTGGGTCGATTCTCTGTCCTGACGGCCGCCCGCTGCCTCTTCCTGGACTCAGGATCTGATCTCCGACCCTCCAACTTCTACGTGGTCCCTGGTATTTAACTTTATGAACCAGACACACTTTGTTGTTTTTTAATCAAGTTTTATCGTGGATAGTTTTGACATCTCGTTTGTCGTCTCCTAGGCAACGAGAAGATGCGCGTCCCTGTCCGGGCTCTGTACGTCCACAACCGCTTCCGTCCAGATCACCACGACAACGACCTCGTCCTCCTCAAGCTGGTCCGTCCGTTGCACTTTAGCCCCGCCCTCATCCACCTCTGCCTGCCCACCAAGGACTTCAGTGAAAACGTCTTGATGCATCCTGGGAGGATGGGAATCGCCGAGAGACGGGGGGTCAGTCGGACCCAAAAGCTAGTCTACATGACACTGGACGAGTGTCGCAGTCAGCTGTACGTCTCGCATCCACTCAGCAACAAAATGTTCTGCATGAGGAGCCCGAATGGACCTTTGGGGAACCAAAATAGAGTCCAGAGGAGCCTAAATGGACATTTAGGGAACCAAAATGGAGCCCAAGGAATGCAGAATCGATCTTTAGGGAACCAAAATGACACCCGGGGGAACTCAAATGGCACTCGGGGGAACCAAAATCGACCTTTAGGGAACCACAATGGTCCCCAGGAGAGGCTGGATGAGCATACAATGAACCAGAATCCAAATAGAGCACCAGGGACGCCAAATGGAGCAGAAAACAGCGGCAGTTCAAAGAGACATGATCACGAGCACTCAGCAGGTGGTGGAAGTCTGAGGTCAGAGGTCAGAGACCGGCAATGTGGCAACCAGTTGCCAGGGACACCCGTTGCCACAGTGGATCGAGGGACGGCGTTTCTGACTGGGCTGCTGACGTCGTCAGCTCCAGGCTGCAACGGCGGTCTGGTGTTCACCAAACTTTCCCGCTACCTGGCCTGGATCAAACCGAGGCTGGAGGACGCCGAGGACCACATGACCCCCCAAGTCAGCCAGTACCCTGAGAGTCGCTAACAAGAGACCGCCATCTTTAAAACTCTTTTCATCATCAAACTTCCTGTTAACTCAAAATCTCTTCAATGGACCAAACTGGTGCTTTTATGTGTTGTACTTCCTTAATTAGAAAAATCTTTAATGATACAAATAGTAACTGGTTTATACCTGTTCATCGTCGGTTTATACCGGTTCATCGGCGGTTTATACCTGTTCATCGTCGGTTTATACCGGTTCATCGGCGGTTTATACCTGTTCATCGTCGGTTTATACCTGTTCATCGTCGGTTTATACCGGTTCATCGGCGGTTTATACCTGTTCATCGTCGGTTTATACGTGTTCATCGTCGGTTTATACCGGTTCATCGGCGTTTTATACCTGTTCATCGTCGGTTTATACGTGTTCATCGGCGGTTTATACCGGTTCATCGGCGGTTTATACCGGTTCATCGGCGGTTTATACCTGTTCATCGGCGGTTTATACCGGTTCATCGGCGGTTTATACCGGTTTATACCTGTTCATCGTCGGTTTATACCTGTTCATCGTCGGTTTATACCTGTTCATCGTCGGTTTATACCGGTTTATACCTGTTCATCGGCGGTTTATACCGGTTTATACCTGTTCATCGGTGGTTTATACCTGTTCATCGGCGGTTTATACCTGTTCATCGGCGGTTTATACCTGTTCATCGGCGGTTTTTACCGGTTTATACCTGTTCATCGCAGGTTTAACTTCCTGTTCCCTAACCCGAGAGCAAAATTACAGAAGTCAAAATAAATCTATATTTTACAATTATATTTTAAAAGTTTGTAACTCTACTGTTGATTAGGTATCAGGTATCGATGAGTGTGTCCACCATCACCAATCCGATACCACTTAATTTACTAGCTATGAAACAGGATCCTACTACTTCCCAGCACTGTCCTGTTTAACTTTATTTCCCAGGATAGTGAAGTCATTACCTGCCCGACCGGACATTTAACAGTGATAGCGATCATACAGGTTTAATTCAATTCAATTCAATTCAATTTTATTTGTATAGCACCAATTCATAACAGAAGTTATCTCAGGACACTTTTCAAATAGAGCAGGTCTAGACCGAACTCCTTATAACATTTACAGAGACCCAACAGTACCACCATGAGCAAGACCTTGGAGACAAGGGCAAGGAAAAACTGCCTGTTAAAAGGCAGAAACCTAGGACAGATCCTCCGGCTCTAGGTGGGTGGTCGTCTGTCTCGACCAGTTGGGGTGAGAGAGAGAGAGAGAGAGAGAGAGAGAGAGAGAGAGAAGAGGCAGAGAGAGAGAGAGACAGACAGACAGAGAGAGAGACAGACAGACAGAGAGAGAGAGCGAGAGACAGACAGACAGACAGAGAGAGAGAGAGACTGACAGGTGCATAGCAACAACAGTATTGGCAATGGCAATCTAGCAGGACCATGGCAGGAGGCTCCACCAGGACTGACAAGAACCTGCAAGACACTTTTGTTTAGCACTGTACGCTAGCGTCTTTAAGACATCTCTATTGTTGAAGTGATTAAATGTGAAACATTAAACATAAAATGATTTTATGTATTAAATATTTCCCAAATGTGAAGCCATCGATGATATTTACTGTCAGCAGTTTGTGTTCAAACTGTGCAAATTTAAATTTCTCATTCATGAAGTTAAAGTGCTGAATTACTCACTGCCTAAAATAAAGACTCCAATACCCACAATGCACCTTCCAAAGCCTCCAGACTTAACACAGAAGTCTTGTTTTAAATCCTGCAAACACGATTGGTTCAATAATGGATCCGACACACGCTGTACAAACCAGCATCTGTTTTATTCAACAATTTTTTACAGTACAAAATAAAAAAAAGAATGAATTGAATGTTTTTCTCAGTGGAGCGTGGCAGCCGGAGGGGACTGTGGGTAACGTAGTCTAGGAGACTGAGGACAGAGGAGGGAATGGATTCTGTTTACTGACCACAAGCTTCTGGTGCTGGTGGGAGATGTAACCTTTGATGTGACCCTGACAGACACAAACCACAGAAGAAGAGCTGAGTGAACTGAAGAGGCCTCATTTATAAAAACACACTGTAAATACACTGATATTGATCCCGTATTGGCACTATTATTATACCGTATTGTACTTAATCAACAATGTTTTTTTAACTGTTGGATGGAATCTGTTTCATTAATTATTAAAACAAAAGTAAAATGTACTTCTTTAAGTATTAATGTTTCTGTAACCTATCAAACTAAGATCATTTTAAATGCTAATAAAAGCTGCTTCAATCTTTCAGACCTTAAACTGAGTGTGTGTTGATTAAAATAGTGTTTACTGGGCGTCAACGGTTCGATACGTATCAGCGTTTAGAAATGAGCCTCAGGTGTTTCTCCGTGTGTGTGCGTCCTCACCATGTAGATGAGGTTAGCCAGGATACACTGCACCTCGTCGATGTCCACGTCGTCCAGCTGCATCATCTTCAGAGCCACCAGGAAGGCATCCAGAGGCAGCTGGTGCGTCCGCAGCAACAGATACCTGCACACACGGGAGGAGTGGAGGTGTGAAGATAAACCGGTTCAGGAGGTTCAGACCGGACTGTGAGGCCGGAGGGATCTGAACTCACACTTTCTTGAAGAGGTTCCTGTAGGTGATGATCTTCAGCTTCTCCAGGATGAGGAAGATCCCACAGCGGATGAAGAAGGTCTCATGTTTGGCCAAAGCCTCGTTCAGCAGCAGCAGGTTCCCTTCGCTGACACACACACACACACACACACACACACACACACACACACACACACACACACACACACACACACACACACACACACACACACACACACCTGTGAGAACACCTGACAGCACGCCACCGCTGGACCACCGCCTCCAACTCTCTGCTTACCTCACAGCCTTGGTGACGTCAGCAAACTGCATGAGGTCGTACTTCTTCAGGAGCTGATGAGTCGGCATGTGACCCTGAAACAACAACAACCTGCCGTCATACTGAGATCTAAACTGGATCTAAACTGGATTTAATCTGGAGTGGACTGCTTTCATTAACGGAGCAGAGGTTCTGACCAGCAGCATCTTGACGGGCAGAAGGTAGATGAGGATCATCCTCTTGTTCTTCTGACTGGAGCGATGGCAGTGGTGGAAGGCGTACGACAGAAACTCCTCCGCTGCAGACACAGAAAGAAAGAATCAGTTTACCTGCTGATAGTTTGAGCTTTCTTTCTCTCTTAGAATAATAATATAAATATGATATACACTGATAATCTAATTATTGATTCTACATTGTGGCCCTGGTTGTCCCGGAGTTAAACAGAGCAGCAGCTCTGGAGCGTACCCGGCTTGAAGTCGCTGTCGAACATGGCCTTGCGGCCCACGTAGTATTTGTAGGTGACTTTCTGAGCCGGACTGTAGTCGTTCTTCAGGTTGGAGCTGTCGATGGCTCGGATGAGAGGCTTACACAGGTGCAGCTTATTGATCTGATTCATCACAAAATCAAATAAGCAATAGTTCAGACACACTAATTTCCATGTTTACGTTCACTTTGTACATCCTACGACACACACACACTCTGTCGGTCCGTCAGTGCTGAGAACTACAAAGAAAAGATTCCCATAATAAAGTTTACTGTATTGTTGTTGTCCTTTATCCTTCGGTGGCCGATCAATCAATAATAATCAACAGTTAGCGGCGAGTCCAGACCTTGAAGTAGATCTTGAAGAGCTGGTTGCTCAGAAACATCATCCCCCACTTCTTCGAGTCCTCGATCCCCGCACGACTGCGAACACAAGAGTTATGATACACGATGAAACGTAAAGTCTTCACGGAAAGTTAAAAAGACTTGAGGTGAGTTTCAATAATGTGTAATGGTAGATATATTGTATATAGAATGGAAACAATATGAGTGAGGCTCTTAAAGGGCGTCAGGTGAACTGACTTGTCGCTGGCACACACTCTGAAGCAGCTCATCAGCTGCTCGGCTGCTTTCTCCAACATCTCGCCCGGCTGACCTTTGCTCTTCTTCTGCAGCTGCTGCTCCGCCTGAACACACAAACAGTTCATCATCATCATCATCATCATCATCATCACCACCACCACCACCACAGATCACTCTGCTGAGTTTTTCACACAGGTTTCTTACGTTGTTGGCAAATATCCTGAGATCCAGAGTGACAGCGAACATCACCGGCAGAGCCCTGAAAGCACAAACACACACTGATCACGGCGCGTTCACAGGCGCCGTCGCGCTCACAGGCACCGCATTGGACACACTGGCATGTGGACCTGATGGTGGCGCTAGAGGAACCTGATCCTCGTTATCCAACAGTTACTGACTGTACAGGTGTTTCTGTGACTGTACATGGATTCACTGGTTCACTGACAGATATTTTTTATATTAAAGGAGGTTTTGTAGAATTAACCATTAAAATAGCCATAAAACTAATGATTATCTCCACAGTCTCCATTATGCTCTATAAACCATCATAAAGAGACTCAGGTCATTTTCCTTCCTGTCAATGTCACACAATCCTGTTACTTCACAGAAGAAGCCAAATTAATTGTGTAATTATTGTCCGGTGTGATCATTTATTGATCGGTAACATCAGGGTTGGGTCACCGATCGGTATAAATTAAGATCTGTCCAAATACAGTTGTTATCAGTGTAAACAGCAATAATTACTGTAATCTCACAGATAATGACTTTTATTACACTTCTAGAACTTTTAACATTCACATTAAAATAATAACAATCCAATAATGGTAGTGATAGAAAATTACTCTGTGTGTGTGTCTGTGTGTGTGTGTGCCTGTGTGTGTCTGTGTGTGTGTGCTGTGTGTGTGTGTGTGTGTGTGTGTGTGTGTCTGTGTGTGTGTCTGTGTGTGTGTGTGTGTGTGTGTGTGTCTGTCTGTGTGTGTCTGTCTGTCTGTGTGTGTGTGTGCCTGTGTGTGTCTGTGTGTGTGTGTGTATCTGTGTGTGTGAGTGTCTGTGTGTGTGTGTCTCTGTGTGTCTGTCTGTGTGTGTCTGTGTGTGTGCGTGTGTCTGTGTATGTGTGTCTGTCTGTGTGTGTGTGTGTGCCTGTGTGTGTGTGTGTGTGTGTGTGTCTGTCTGTGTGTGTGTGTGTGTGCCTGTGTGTGTCTGTGTGTGTGTGTGTGTGTGTATCTGTGTGTGTGAGTGTCTGTGTGTGTGTGTGTGTGTGTGTGTGTGTGTGTGTGTGTGTGTGTGTGTGTGTGTGTGTGTGTGTCTGTGTGTCTGTCTGTGTGTGTGTGTGTGTGTGTGTATCTGTGTGTGTGTGTGTCTGTGTGTGTTTGTGTGTGTATCTGTGTGTGTGTGTGTGAGTGTCTGTGTGTACACACTCACCAGTTCTCCTCTTTATGGGACTGGAAGGCCCTCAGGAAGGATGTGGGAGGTCAAGGAGAAACTGACTGATTATTGATTATTGATTTCAGCTGTGTGTACATTGACAGTGTGTGTGTGAAGGATATTGGACGACCAGCGTCTGTAACTTGTAGGCTTCAACAAAGTCGTGATTGGCCACCGCGTAGGTACACCTGCAACACAGACACACAGGCTGTTACCATGGTTACCTATGGTTTAACACACCCTGAGCTCTGCGGAGGCCACGTCCTGTTTGTCCTACCTCAGGTGAGCTGCGACCATCTCATCGTACGGCGGCTCCAGAAGCTGCTGACATTTTTCCTCCG